CATTTTCAAATGATTTCAAATTTCTTAAATATTAATTAAAATAAATACAATTATATCGGCTTTATATCGGCCACACTGCTTTCCAATATATCGGCATCGGCTGTCAAAAAAAACAATATCGGTCGACCACTACTTCTATTCGTATAAGACAAAACTGTTAAACGGCGACAGCAAACAATAAAGAGGAAGAATGTGAGCACTGTGTTCAGGCGCTGCTGTTCTCAGCTACGTCAAAATAAAAGTCTTGCCTCGAACACATCAGCCAAACAGAAAAACTTGCCAAAAATGCCAAATATTGGCTGATATATCGGTCGACCACTAGCGTTTATAAATCATCTCTGTGTGTGTGTGTGTGTGTGTGTGTGTAAATGTACATCTATTCTAAAACAGCATTATATGCATAATCTATATGCATATATTTATCTACTGCTATTTATATGCAGCTTATTGACCTAATCTGTTTCTAACTTCATGTAAAACATTAATGGAGAAGCAAGATATCAGAGAGGAGATTGAGGCCATGAACACTCACAGCTCCTGTTAGCATATCATACATCAGGGCTCCCAGACTCCACCAATCCACAGCTCGGTTATGGCCGCTTCTCATGAGGATTTCTGGTGCCCTGAAAAAGGGAGAGGACAAGAGAAACAAAGAGAGAAAGACAGAATGAATGAGTGAAGAGAGAAAAGGCCATCACACCAACCATTTTTTGTGCTGCTGTCTTTTTTACTTTGACCTAACTGACACCAGAGGCCCCAAATAAGCCTTCAGCTGACATGATTGATGGAGGCTCTGACCTCCATGAACTGCTCTGTATGAACTTTCAAGAGGCCACATTGCCGAAAACATGATTTTTCTTACTGTTTTAAAATTCAAGTTCAAGTTGTTAAACAACACAAAGCTCCCTTTCTAGCCTACACAGACCATTTATTTGAGAAAAAGATGCAATAACAGGCTGCTCGGAAATTGATGTCACAACCATGAGTACATTAAAATAAATATCATCAATATTTAGTATTCAGCAACTTGGCCAATTCTGCTACTCAGTTTTTACATTGGCCATTTACATCTAGAAGTTACATGAGCATATAAAAAAGATTGTTTAATTGGGTGAAAATGTGACTTTGTACATACATGTACTCTATGGTTCCACAGAAGGTGTGTGTGACGGTACCATCGTGGATCGACTCCTTACAGAGTCCAAAGTCTGTCAACTTCACATGACCTGAGATGAGAATGAAATGAGCACATCCAGAGGAGAACAGTCTTTATTGAACAGGCAGTGGTGCAAATCTGAGGACTATCTGGGATAAAAGGACAGGTGTGTGTGTGTGTTTATTACCATTGTTACGGAGCATGATGTTCTCTGGCTTCAGATCTCTGTAGATAATGCCTTTCTGATGAAGGTGACCCAAGGCCATGGAAATCTCTGCCAGGTAAAAGCTAGAAGTAAATCAAATTATAAATAAATAAATGGAAATTAAAAATTGAAATGCTTTCACAATCCATTGATTTGTACATTTTTTGTTAAACAAATCGTTCACCCCAAAATTAAAAATTTTGTAATTATTATATATTGTATATTATTGTATATTTTATATATTATTTCCCCATACATATTAGGGTTCAAACAAATCATAATATATAGTGCTACAGTCATATAGACCGCTTTTAAGGTGATTTATTTCTTTTTGGAATTTAACAGCTTAACACCATAAATTGTCATTGTATGATAAAGACCTTTGTACACACTCATTAAAGTATTTAAAAATAATTAAAATATGTGGGAGTTAAACGGAAAAAATTAACAGCATATGGGTTTGGAATTAAATGAGGGTGAGAAAATTATCACAGATTTAGAATTGGTTAAAAAAAAAAACATTTTAACAAATTTTAAATATTTGGTCCATCAAACCATCAAATCAGCATTTGGGTTGTATGTACAAACAACATTTGTTAAGCCAATGAATTTTGAAAGCCTCCCGCACAAGATCAACGTTTACACAAAACAGAGGCGTTTCATCCAGATAGCAGACAGGTCATCTTGACATGGGAACGATCTATATCCTGATAAGACCGGTAAAGCTCCACTTACCAGGCTGTGTCCTCCAAAAAGATCCCCTCCCTCTCCAGCTGCATGAACAGCTCTCCACCTGTTACAGAAACATAAACTTGATTCCGGATACATTCTCTAAAACATGTCTTGTTTCAATTTTTTTCTCAAAACCAAAACTACTGATTAAAAAGCACCAGTTGCTGTTTTGAACTCACCGCTTAGGTACTCCAGGATGAGGTAAAGTTTGCCTCCTGTCTGAAAGGCGTATATGAGGTCCACAATGAAGGGATGCTTAACTTCCTCTAGGATGCTCCTTTCTGCTTTAGTATGAGCAGTGTCCTTTGCATTGCGAACAATCATGGCCTGTTGAAACGTTGTGTTTTTAAGTAAATGCCAAGCACACAAGCACTGACTGTACATCATCCTGTGAACATCTATGCACTGGAGGGTTGTAACACCCCTAATCACAGCTGAGAACTGGGGTCATTAATGCTTTTATTGTTGTTGCAATAAACAGACGTGTGCAAATCTAATTGGGGAATCATGTGCACATCAAAGTCTGTATATTTTTTATTTTTGTAAAGATACTTTTAGAGGCTCTGTAATACAGTGCTAAGAATATCGTAAAAAGAAACCCAAAACGCTTATAACTTGCATTTTTGCATAATGATAAAGTGCACCTTGAATTCATTCAGTTGTGTTTGACAATCACTAAAGAATCACTAAACAGCTGCCATGAAAACACACTTCTTGTATGATAAACTTGTTTTCATTAAATTCTTAATTTTCTGTTATAAAAAACTAAATGGGGGCAAAAGTCTGGAAATGCAAATATTTTTCCATACTCTGCTTTCTTTTTCCATACTTTTCCAGACCTGGAAATTACTCAAATCAAATTTCATACTTTTCCAAACTGCGTAGGAACCCTGTTTAAAGATAATTTAGCTAAAACGGCTACAGTGTACAATGAAGAGTCTACTAAGTATTGATAAGAACAGAGCCACATTCTGTTGGTATGCAAATCTGGCCAGCTGAGATTGCATCATATTATGACCACATCATATCTTTCTACCAAGTTGATCAATTACCAAATCTGCCACTCATCCGTGGTCTTGCCAAATTAGACCCTGTGAAGCATGCTATTATAAGCCCTTGTGTTCTAAATATGTTGAACAAATATGTTGCATTTTGAGCAAAGCAATATTCCTCCTATTAAATGCTACTGTGCGTTTCTGTTATGATCTACTTGTTTGCAGATGCCAAAATAAGGAATTCTACTATTTAACCATTTTATTAGCTGTTGTGAAAAGGAAAAACACACTAAAACTATACAAACAATCATTACTGAAACTGTTTATAGGTAATGATGAAACATTCCTTAAACATTATTCACAGGCCTGCAGCAAACCACACCAATACAACCTGTTAACCAGCAGGACCAGGCATGATGGAACACCCACACTGATTTTCAGGGAAAGATCAATTATTGTGAATTTTGGGGGGCCATACCTTTTTCAAGACCTTCATGGCAAATATCTTCCCAGAATCTGCCCCAGTTACCTTGCGAACTTGAAAAACCTGTTATTTTAAACAGAAAGGACTGTTAAAAGTGCCCCTATTATGCCATTTCGAATATTTCCTTTCATGCAGTGTGTAATGTAGGTGTATGTGAATGTAAACAATCTGCAAAGTTGTAAAGCCGAAAGTGCATGATAAATAAAGTTATTGTCTCCAAAAGACACTGAGCACTGAACAGCCTAAACGAGCTGTCAGTAATTCGAATCACACTTCCGTGATGGCTACACGTCACATGGTAACACATTTTCATAATGCCCGCAGATGCCAAAATTCCGCCTATGTTCTACGTTGGCCGGCCACGAACAACTTGACCCGCCCTCAGACACTGTAGATTGTTCGTGTGGTTAACATCATGTCAAGAAGACACTGTTAAAGTAAATTTGTTTTATTCTCACTTCCGAAAGATGAGGCTGCAAAGAATCAGTGGTTATAATTAATATAATTTTTTTTCCCACTGTACTACAGCAGTACAACCCCAATCTTTTTTGTGTACCCTAAAAATGGCATAATAGGGGCACTTTAACATACAAAAGCTGAAGGTCCGATAAACATGGCATGGTAAGATCTACAATAAAAATCTGCAAATGAAAACTAAAAGCATGAAGACAAAAATGAATGGACACTATTTAGCAAGGATGCATTAAATTGATCAAAAGTGACAGTAATGACATTTACAGTGTTACAAAAGATTTCTATTTCAAATCAATGCTGTTCTGAAAATTCAGCAAATTGCAAATATTTTAAATTACATTTTAAACTATATTAAAATATAAAACATTTATTTAAAATTATAATAATATATCACAACATTACTGTATTTATTGTATTTTTAATCAAATAAATGCAGCATAAGAAGCTTCTTTCAAAAACTCCTTCCGACCCAAAACTTTTGAACAGTAGTGTACTTATTTTAAAGCCCATATTATGTGTTAAAAACTACACCACATGCAGGGTGGAAACATTGGGTAGCACTGCTTGTCTTGCTTACCTTTCCATATCCTCCTTTACCCAAAACACAAAGCAACTCAAAACATTCTGGACGAATCTGCTCTGTGCCTTGATTCACAATATTCTCTGAGATTTCGAACTTCTCACAGTCTTCCAAACTGCTCCAAAACATCAACATTTATATACATTTAACATAAAATATCAACATTTTAATCAAAGAGAAGACATTTCACATCTAAATTAAAATGACATCATCGAATTACACAAATATAATTATGTTTGAATGTCAAGTAGCTCTTTGACATACTCACAATTCAAAGCCACTGCACTGGTCCAGGCATTCATTACTCTTGGCCTGTGGACAGAAACAAACTTTTGGTGTTTATGGAAGGTTTACAGAGTGTTTGAGGTGTGGACTGCAGTTTTTGGTATCCCTGCAGCTTTTCCACTAAATACATAGTGTGCAGATCTGACACGGCCATTAACGCTCAATCTATAGCAGTGACTGACGCGCACTGGCTCTTTTCCATCTCTCGGGAGTATCAAGGTCACTGATCACATTATAAGACCCAGTCTAACAATAGAGAGTGTCAGACCAATGCAAGTTGGACCTACAGAAGATTTTTTTGTTTTGTTTTGTGGTTTCAGATGTAATTCAGGAGCAAAGCCGGTCTAAAAATCTGACATGAGAACTTCTGGCAAACTTTTGAACACTAAACCTCTAAAGTCTATTTTGCTTTCAGTGATATTAAAAATGAACTGCAGCTGAAAAGTTTTGAAAGTTCATATCTGTCATATTTAGCATGACTCTTAAGTCTGTGTAGTCATAAAAGTTTGACAGTCCATTAAAACAGACATCTTCATACACCTGAAGTGATGCTAGGTATCCAAAAATCCAGTTTAAGCAGGTAGCCTAGATGTGTTTCTAGCTGGTCTTAGCCATTAATTAGCTATTATGTCCTGCTAATATGTTCTTTAAAAAAAAAAAAGATGGAATATCTTCAGTTTGATCAACTGGTAGCTAGTTCAAGAAGGTCCACCATATTAATAACCAGGTTATATTAATAACCTTAGACCAGCTTGAAAACATCTTAAACTAGATTCCAAAGTTGTATTAAAACAGACAAATATGTCCACTGGTAAGTACTTTGTAAATCTATCCTCTGTAAAACATTTTAAACCACGTAAAAATCATACAGTACCATGGTAAATAAGTACCGTGGTATTGTCATCTAATAGTTTACTACGGTACAGCCATAGTACTTTTATGTGTTTCTGAAGCGTGTAAAGGTGCTGGATCGATCCTCAGGCGATGCGGAAAATCTGAACCCGAGCCAGGTGTACCGACGAAACATGCTACCTATCAGATTGTGCTACCAAAAATATATTTGCATTGTTTTAAGGGTAAGTTTAGGGTAAGGGTATGTGTGGACGGGTAGGTTTAGGGTAGGGGTAAGTTAGGTATGGACATTAAAAAAAGCCTCAAAACACATGAATAAGATTCTGGTAGCACAATCTGATAGGCAGCATTTTTCGCTATCGATTTGTGCTAGGTTACCTATCTTTTTAATGGGAGGTAGCACAATCTGAGCGGGTAGCACAAATCAAATCGTCACAATACCGGTTACCAGTTAGTTACCTAACTTACCCCGTCGGCGAGCTCCTCGTCTGACACGTTGTCCTCCGGCGGGTCCAGGTCGATATCAAAAACACCAGCCATGGTCACAGTCTCTTTACACACTCCAATACCAGAATAACGATTAATACGGACACCTCATGGTCCCGCACGACTCACCGCCGCCATAACGGCTCCGGTACACTACGTATCCCTACAGAGATTAACTACCGGTAAACGATAATCACGGCGAACAGCGAATTTCACAGAGCGTCAGTGCGCATGCTCCGGAATGTGTAAAAAAACTGTCAACAACTGAATGAACGTTTTTGTTTATTTAAACACACGAATGTCTTTGACTTTATTCCGGAAGGTTGTAGTTGAGGTAAGTGGGTGTACGGATACAAAAACGCGTCATTCTGTGTGTATAGGAAGCTGATTTTACTTGTAGTACCTCCGCACTGCCAATAGGTGTCGACAAAAGACCTGCCGATGTTTTGCTTCTGTCAAGAGCTTCAACATTCGTGCTGTTAACCCTCGCGGATAAAGCTACCGCATAATCACAATCAGTGGTTTGCCTGTGTTTTCAAGCTTAATTTATTTAATAATAAAAAACGTCACGTTTCTCTCCTCTTATGGATTAATAATAAATCTTTTTTTCCCCCCAAGTTGTCCACAAAATAGTAAATACTATTTCAGTCTTTCTACTTTGAAAGTTTGCATTTAATTCAGTGTTGTTTGCCGTTTCATTGTCTATTTTTTCCGAAGTAAATTATTTTTTTCAGTATATGTATACACATATATATTTATATTTTAGTATTATGGTATCATTAAAATGTTTTGTGTTGCTTGAGCATTTGTTGTAGAATAACTGTAGGTGTATTACCGTTTAGATTTGGGAGGAGAGTCTAATTTGGCAATCCTTTTGAAACTATTTGATTATTCATGAAGGGTAATTCTATTTAAACCTTTTATCCTGTTCTACACTACTTAACGTTCAAAAGTCAGCGAGGTCGCTAAAAGGGTTGACTGAAGAAAGATGCGAGCTAACATTGTTACAAAGTGCTGGGTAGCCACAACTCTCTGTTCCCCATCAATGGATCACAATGGGCACTTTGTGTGCCACATATGCTTTAAGCAGGAAGAAAAAAAATCAATATGCAAATTATAGTTACAGGGGCTTTCCAAAGTTGTATGTTTTTGAAAAAGAGGCATAAACCCATACAGGGCAATGCACAGACCTTTTGAGGGGCATGTGCTGAAACTGAAAAAGGGCACCCCCCCTTTATGACAAATGAAATAACACAAAGTCTCAAAAGCTTTAGATTTATTCACTATTAATAACAACCATAATATATATATATATATATATATATATATATAGGGTTTCTTAGGTTGCAGAAATCACATATCATTGCCTGCAATTACTGTTGCATGATGTATTGCTCTGCATTAAACAAATTTTGATTTGAGAAAAATAATAAAACTCAAATAACAAAATAAATAACTGCTCTTATTTAATAACTTACTGTAAATTTAAAATGTAAAATTTGATCTTAAAATGTCTGAAGCTTGCAAAAATTACATTTAATTGTCTGCGATTATTGTTCCATGTTGTATTGCTGTGCATTAAACAATCTTCGATGTCTGAAAAATATACTATATAAAACTCATAACAATTCATATTTTATCTCAACATATTTTTACATTTTATCTGCTTTAAATTTCTGAAGCTTTTTAATTGTATTATTTTTTTTATTCTTTATTTTCATACATATGCATTTATAGTATTTTTCTTTTAGCTGCTCTTATTTTATCTAAAACTTTAAACTTGATCTTAACTTTCATTTCTTCAGCTTGCAGAAATTACATTTATTAGCCTGCAATTACTATTGCATGTTGTATTGCAACTTACAATTTATTAGAAAGCTAAAATAATAAAATATATAAAACTCAACTCAAAAACCAGGAGACGGATTGACATTTACTTCATTCATCTTTATTGATTCACACACAGGACACATAGACACACATGAATGGCAGAGGGGGTTCCCTAAAGTACAGGATGTTCTGAACAGTTAAAGAGGAAATGATAGGACTTGACTGTGAAAGCCAAGCAGATCACCCTGTGGTTTTACAATGGAGAAAAACAGAGGGGGGAATTGCTGAATGAACATCTTTTTAATTTAATTACAAATACCAGTTGCACATGTTAGATAACGATTGAGCAGTTACATGACAAAGGAAAAAAAACTGTAGAGCAAGTGCAAATGAAGGGGTGGGCAAAAAGACCTGTCGTAACAGAGTGTGTTGCAATAAGGCGTGTTCTTTCTGGATTCTCAAGAAATTCAAGTGGACAAAACCAAGTGCTGAACGTGCGCGCACATACACACACACACACACACACACACACGCCCTTTAACGAGAAGGGCTACGCAGCAACACGTCAATCACGCTCTGTAAACACACACACACACATCGGATATATTTCTTTAATAACGACCCCCCAAAATTAGACACCAATATCGAGACAAAAAGGTATTTTCAGTATTGGAAAAAAATATGGTTATAAAAATGACAACTACTAATAACAACAAAATCGACAGGGATTAAAAATAGAAGATTTTTAGAAGGGATGAAAAGCCCAAAATGTCAGACAGCCTACAGACTGTTGTCGCCGGGCGAATGTAACAGCCAACACCAGTCTGATAAGCTATCTGACACGCTGGGAGAGACTTCTGCACTCCAATAAAGACACATAATGAAGAATTAACTCACTTACCAATGATAAGACGAGAGGGTGGGGCTGAAAGAGGGGCGTGGTCATCAATTCTAACGATATAATAACTATTAGATCCCGTTATGGCAGAACCGAAAGCCCCCCCCCCCCCCAACGCAGCTTCTCCTTTCTGTCTCACCCTGGCTGGGTTTCGATACCTAGCGAAGCTCCTACCTAGACAGCGCTTTTTGGGGCATCATCGTCGCGCTCGAACGTTCGAAAGACTGTCTCGCTAGGGTTTGAGACACAGCCTCTCTCGCTCTCTCTCAGCAGTGTTGCCATATCCGCGTATTATAAGCCACTTTTCATCAAAACGCTTTTAAATACTGGCAGTCGCGCGTCGCTCTTTTTTGGGTTTGTTGGCAGAACACACACGCATGCTTCGGGATTTCAAATGTACAGAACTGCAGAATTGTATAAAACATTTATTTTCAATTTACCAGTTATATTTCCTTTTTCCTACTTGAACACCAGATAAAAAAAAAAATCAATTACTTTTGTATAAATTTTGATTAAGATTTATAATTTTTTATTAATTCAGATATCCAATTGTATATGTGAAATATTTATTTTTGGAGAAGTATATACTTACATTATTTTGTTAGTCAATGCGGTCATTATTGCTCAATCTGTTTTTTATTATTATTGCTATTATTATTTATGTAATCTAAATGTTTCATGGTGATCAATAAAATTGAGCTTTTCCATTCGCTTGCTTTTCTCACGAGATCTGGCAACAGTGCCTCTCATCATCTACGCCAGCAGCGGCCAGTGCATTGAGTTCAGCGGAGGGTTCATTTAAGGTAACGGCAAAAGAAACTCCACACTATTCCATTTTTTTATACGCCTGCAGCTTCCAGACTCACATACCAGGGCAGCGTTACAAAAAAACACCGAAAAAACTTTTCACAAGCAATTAAAAGAAAAAAAGAAGCGACGTTCAGAGACGTTTGCCTAGCTACCACCAGAGCAGCGGTTCTCAATCTGGTCCCGGTGGTCCCCCAACACTCCAGATTTTAGATATGACACACCCATTTCAGGAAACGGAGCCTCTAATAGTGAATTGAATCAAGTGTGTTAGATTAGGGAGTCGTCCAAAATGTGCAGTTTTGGGGGACCACCACTGCACTAGCGACTAAAAAATGCATTCGTTTTAAACTGGATACCTGCATGTAAATATAAACTACTCGTCACTATAAAAGAGTCAAGATACTAACCTTTCAAGCTGACAGACATTCCAGTCCAGCAGCTCTCACAGCAGCGAGCACCCTTCCAGTAAAACCGGATGCTCTTCAGATGTATAGAATATGAGCGATAAGGAGCTACGCGCGAAACGTGGCAACCGCCCACGCACATATGTGCCCGAAAACACACGCGCTTCTTAATCTGATTGAATGCGTTATTGCATCTGGTGGAGTGGCCCTGTAGTGAGTCATGTGGTCTCACACACACACACACACACACACTCTCTCCTTCTCCCTCTCCTCTTTGGATCTCTGGAAACAAAACAATAACTCTAGACGAAAGGAACATTATGATTCACCAACCTTTCAGAACGCAAGACGATCTCTGCTCAGAAAAAGTAATGTAATACAAGCACTAGTCAATATGCATAACATCTTATAGCAACTTTAGAGTCAGGTACTTTTGAGTCAGCATTACTTTAACTTCCTGTTACACCTAAATTCAGTCAAACTCTGAATGTAGAATTAGATGAGCGCTATAGACTGGAATAGGCTGAATTTCAAAGCACATAAAGTGACTAACAACTCCTTTTAAAACAAAATTAATTCAGTCTGTCCCGTAAATGTAATAGACCACACACAACATAAGCCACAGTGCACCTTAACATCTCAACCAATGGGATCAGATAACCTGTGCAAGACACAGAGCTGAGAACATGAGTATCACAGCACAAACCACCAGCTAAGCAAGCACATTAAAAAGTAAAAATGTTAACCGATAGCCATGTCACAAAAGAAACCTCAATGAAAATTGAGAAAAATAAACCTATTATTCTAGCTGTAGCTCTCATCAGATTGAGGAAGCTATTCGATTTTGGGTTAAAATAGGTTCCTTGATTTAGTTTTGCTCTACGTTTGTTGGATGCCATAAGTTTATGATGCAACAAACCATGCTGATCACCATCTTTTAAAACCTGTAACGAGAGAGAGAGAGAGAGAAAAGACAGTCAATTATGCCTAATCTTTAATGCATTAACTCATCAAAAACATCATCTCCACATGCATTTCCCTTTAATCGCTCCCTGTTTCTTTAAAACAAGATTTATGTTAGTGACACGCGCACAGTGGCATAGTTTCTTCCTGCCGGTTGAACAAGCCCGCAGCTTTCCTTAAGTAACAGCAGGAGGTTCAAGTTACCAGAAAAAAGGAACATTGTTCCAGAAACATCCGTAATCTCTCATTGTGCAACTTCATTGCTTTCTTTCTCTCTCTTTCATTTCCTCCTCCCACACATACGCACGCCATGTACACGAGCTGGAAAAGTGCTTTAGATGAAAGAATGATTTGCACACGGGCAGACGATGGTAAAAAAAAAAGGTTCCCTTCCCTTCCCAACTTCCCCCATCCCTCCTCCTCCTCCTTCTTTTACTCCTAGGGGCCCCTCCCATCTCCGGCAGCCTGCGCTGGGTTCAACAGGGTTTGGCTGCCGAGGGGGGGAGTGTCCGGTTCACTC